ACAAGTACTGTTTTGGGAATAAAGTAAATCATTACTATTGTTATTATTATAAAATGCAAATGTGATTGTATAGGCAGTGAAAATAAAATCGCCGAAATCTCCTCTTCGCTGAACTACTTGTTTCGTTTGTTTTTACTAGAGACTGGTCGGGGATTTTCTAGCAATTGAAAAACAAATGGTCACTATAGTATACCTTATTGAAAAGATCAAGATATGAATGATACATCTTTGATATTTACATTCCAATTACTTCTTTGTACTCTGAATAATTTGGAAACATTTTTGATTCATCTGCTATTTATTTGGGAACAGTTAAACAGATTGAACTTTGATTGGAGACAAGTTTCATGTCATGTGTCTAACCGTTCATTTGTCGCAGGCTGAATTCTATCGGTCAAAAGTTTGCAATGTAGCTCCCATACCAAGTGGCTTGCCATCCCAGTGCACTCTAAATTGGTATTAAGTTATTGGAGGAAATTGGCTGGAAGCCTTGGACCTAGTTTTCGTGTTAGTCAGTAAGGTGTATCCGAAATCTCCAAGAAACTCATGTCCTCTAAGAGATTTGAGTCCGGGACAATCAGTACTCCACTTAGAGATTGATAAAATTCAATCCATACCAAGTAAAGGACTAGATGCTTGACGTTTGTTACCACCTAATGTCAAATCGCCGACCATGCAAATGCTCCGGGGTTCGACCCCCGGCCGACACACTCCTTTACCTCGCTAAGCCAGAAATAATGCTGGCAAAGAGGAAAGGTTGGGCATGAGGCTAGCACCCTCCCATCCTGTAAAATAAACACTGCTATAAAAACTTCAAGCCACTAGCAGCTTGAAGCCTTATGTTCCACTGGGAAAGTGAAGGGAAAAAATGTCAAATCGGAGTACCCAATACAGTCCTACAGGAGATCAGTCGCGAATAGCTCAGTGCTAACGTCTCTGAATGCAGTACTAAGTGACACGGGTTCGAATTAGAGAAGGGGATACGAGTTCCTTGAAGATTGCAGATACGCCTTGCTGACTGATAAGTGCCAATAAACACGCACCTTATGCCTAAGGCTTCCTTGCTGATCGCCTACAACCATCTAAAAATCAATTCAGAGAATAAAGTAAAATACATGCTAATTCTGATGAAACCTGTATATCCTAAGTAATTTGCATTGATTGAAAATTCTCATTGTTAAATTATTATTATTCGCATATTGTCTTGTTTTATATGAACAAATATATATTAACTTAGTAACAGTAACAGGTCTACATGTAAAAAAAAAAGATAAATACGCGTACAAACATGTGTATGTGTAACATCACAAATCCAGTGTATTCTGATTCTGCGTTTTTAGTGCTATAAACCTATTCCCACAGAAAACTATCACTATGTGAAATTTGAAAACAAATTTTAAGCAATAACACATAATATCCCTGCTTACCTCCTGTCGTGTTCATACACATACAGCTAGATTATACATACATGCATGAATTAGTTCACAAAACCAAATCCGTTTTTCACATATTATTATTATTATTACCAACCGACTGAAATTAATTTCGTTTTTGGCTATATATATAAGAACATGAGACATAACTATTCGTGTATAGTATGTAGTGATATTATTCATTCACATAAGAGAAAATTTTGCATAATACCAGGATTTTGTTTTAGAAATCCACCGAAAAGGAAAACAGATAGCGGTTTTTATTCTTGTTTTCAACCCTGAAAAACATCCCGACGAACGGTAAAGTCATTGAGAAACACCCGTTATGATTGTTTGGTAAATTAATTGAGAGGCATATTTCGCTATATAAATAAAAAGAATATTTGTACCGTATGCTAGAGAAGCAAAATACTACTGACGAAGAGGGTGAATAATTACTAAACTAAATGTCTAGAGGAACACATTTTCATACAATGACCGACGTGAAGAACCTAGAAGACCTGGATTTCGCGCGTGGATGATTTATGTTTAATGTCACACAAAATTGAGGACTTACAAGCAAGCGAAAACCGACAAACTGATCGAAGAAGCAGCCAGCGAAGACAGGGCTCCAAGTGAACATACACAAGACGGAGGTTATGAAAATAACCAACCAGCCAACAACAACAACGACAACAGCAGCAACATCCAGTGTCAATCACCACCAACGGGAGGGATTTGAAAGAGGTTACTTCATTCATTCACCTATCCAGGGAGCATTGTCTCAACTACAGGCAGTCGGAACGGACGAGGATGTCAAATCGAGCGAGAATCGGGAAGGCCAGCGACAAAGACATTCATCAACCTAAAACCAATCTGGAAATCTTCGTCACTCAACTCAGCATCAACAACAAAATTCAGTCAGATTTTCAATAAAAACGTCAAGTCAGTCACTTCTTCTATACGGATCAAAAACTTGGCGGATGGGTCACAAAGAATATTTCCAACAGCCTGTTGCAGACCAGACCATTATCAACAACTGTCTTCGCTGGATCTATACTGAAGATCAGATGGCCGGGCCGGAAAGAATCACCAACAAGAAACTATGGGAACAAACGAACAAAACAAGAACAAACCAATCGCCCAACAACAGCAAATATGCAGGAGAAAGTGGAGATGGATTGGACACTCGCTGAGGAGACCGCTGGGTGATATCGCGCGCGTATCAGGCCATTGCTCGAGTGGAACCAGGCCAAAAGGGAAGCGGTAAGTGGGACGACAGTGCAAGGGTGACATGGAGGAGATCGTGTGAAGAGGAGCTGAGACAGTGTAGACTAACATAGATGCAGGTGAAAAGTACAGCAGAAAGAAGGCAGAAATGACAAGTGGAGACGTGTAGTTGAAGCCCTATGTTCCACTAGGAACCCAAGGGAACGATAATAACAATAATTGGTGCATAACGCTATATACTACTGACTCGATGAGATGAATAGTTGGATACCACTGTTATCGATTAGTAGTGTTTGCCAGCCAGCTAGAAATTCGCAATTTCAGAATGCCACCTAACGTATTACGGGTTCCACCAAGTAACTAACGAGAAATAGGGTAATTCGCATTGATTCGGCTCTCTGAGCTGAATCAAGGCAAGTACACCAAACAAGCGAGACAGCCGTCCGGTATTGTCGATCACTTTGATCTGGCTAGCAAACAATACTGGTTGATGCAAATGGTATCCAACTACTCACTTCAACTAATCAGAGTAATACATGGCATCATGCACTTTTGCTTGATTTCTTGATTACTATTCATGGTATCAAGAAGAAGAATTTCGATTTCGGAAGGAAACTACACTGAAAGTTCATCTCGAAATGTGTAAATTGTGAATTACGAACTAATTTACGAATCTGACTATTGGCGTATGATTTTTTTTTAAAAAGACAACAATTATGGCTGAAAACTTTTGATGACATGGTTGGAATTCCTTCTCAGTGGAGCGGATGCATTCAGCCCTTATGATCTACCAAATTCTTATCATTCTCCGCATAATTTATATTTCTCGCCCACATTACCATTATAGCCCCTTTGAGCTATTTCATACACATATACACATTTTCCTTCGTTTCTCTATATGCATCGTGATTATAACTCATTCATCTCACTACGTCACTCCAGTACACTTATTTAACTCCTCCCTCTTGTATATTGAGTTATATAAACAACTATGATCATTCAAGTGTTAACTTGTGGGGATTCAATTGATTATATTATTTCATCGTAAACTAACATCGGTTAAAGAACCATTAGAAAACGTGAGAGTGTTAGACAGCCGTTTCGTCCTGGTTTGCGATTCTTCAAACTAGAAGGAAAAAGCTCTCCAGCACTTCCAGATTTTCCAATAGTTCTCTAACCCGTGTCAGTTCGTGTTAAAACTAGGACTACGACAACTCCTCTCTTTTGTTACTCCTTACATTCGTGAAACATTCTATATAAATGCGATTTTACAACTGAAGACAGAGAATATAAGTATAAAAACTTGGGCACTGTGGTAAAGCATAACTCCATTATTGATAAGATTTTATTTTGATATATCACACACTGTTACACAGTAATATTAACTGATGACCACGTCTCAAGCACAAACTATTGCCACTCATAATCATATCAAGTCACTCACCCACACAACTTTTTCCTTCGTTTATATACATGTGTGGAACTGACCAGATATTTGAATATAAATCAATAGAGGGCATAGGCACATTCAGAAATAATAATAATAATAAGAGTGTTATTGATCAATTACACTCAGATGGGAATTTATAAGTAACTTTTTAGAATGTTGTGATATGCTTGAATTGAAATAGAATTTTGAGATTATTTATTATCCTCCTCTGATTTGACTGACTGGCGGTAATAATATCTTCCATGCATATTTCTGGTATTTGCATTGAGTCATTTCTGTTGAATGTGTTGTTGTTGGGTGTAGATTCACTCGATGAACCAGGCGCGATTCAGTAATCTCTCTCTCTCGCTCTCCACCTACCTAGATTACTTTTTAGAAGTTTAACCCTCTCACACCATGCTACTGTGGGGTTGTTTGTTAATGCATGCAGTGCAATCGCTGAGCTTTTCTCTAAATTACTTATCTTCTTCGAGTCACCCATTCTTCCCTTAGCTAAATTCTTATGTTCCACCAATCTGATTACCCCCAATCTACTAGTTCGCCCGAAAAAAGCGCCTCTTCACCTAACTACTCGTTTCGTCTTTTAGATAATACGCAACAACAACAAAAATAGGCAAAACAAAAAGCCACATCACATATACACGCAAGCAAACTGCTTTTATTTCTCACAAGCAATTATGTATACACACACACACACGATCACTGAGATTCAATTACCTTCATTTATAGTCCGAAGGTTATACAGATATAAAGAAAGAAAGAACGAACGAAATGCGATATATAAACTCTGTACAACAATACGATATAAACAGTTGAATTAGCGATGATAATAACAATAATAATGATAACAGGGCTTGCAATACAATTCAGTATATATATATATATATATATATATATATATATATATATATATATATATATATATATATATACGTAGATATTGGCTGCATTCATACTTCTAATACCAGTAATAATAACTAAGTAACAATATCAATAAAGCATTAAGTCAGCATGATTCCATTAGTGTACAATAAAAAAAGGTAATAGGATGAATATGATTAAAAGTTAACTACACAATATGAACGAGCTGAAATTGAATAAAATTATACATACCTAATAATTCAAAAAAAAAAAATTAAAAATAAAGCAAACCAGATGTAATTATACATATATGGATATGGAGAGATCGTCAGTACTTTTGCCCACATTCCAATTCTTTTTATTCTATCCATACACATATCTGTAAGAGCTAAATGCAATTAAACACCATAGAAATTGATGAAAGTAGATTTTATATGCACACACAAGAACAACAATAGCAACAACAAAAATCAATGAATAGTGCAATATGAAGCGATGATTAATCAATCCAATAATATATAGGTATATATAAAAAAAAACATAAATCTCTGCAATAACAATAATCTTTTAAAATAAGTAAACAATTGACGAGACAGGCAAAAACAAAAGACATTGTGTTTAAATAGTGTCTCTCTCTCTCTCGCTCTAGAGTCTGTCACTATCGTTACTGGTTGGCGGTTTTCTTGAATTACGATTAGATAATCTTGTAGTTGCTGATGTTGTAGATTTATCCATTTCATTTGTATGATTCATACTATTATTATTATTAATACTGGATTGTGTAAAACGATGATTACGTTGTATGAGTGATGTTGATGTGCTGGATGTAGACGACTGTCGTGTGGTTGACTGTTCATCAGGGTAATCATGAAAATTTACTCTACCCGAGAGAATTGAATGATTACAGACAACTAAGGGACTTTTGGATGACTGTTGAGGCGAGGACGGCAGCAGTTCATCATATCTGAATAATGATGACAACTGCATAGAATTATTAGACGACATATGATGTTCTGGTAAGGTGGATTGAAATGATTTTGACACCGAATTATTATTATTATTATTAGTGTCATTAAGGCGACCTGAAAAATGCTCTGACTCTTTCATCATCATTCCATTCTTTGAAGTACATGAAGAAGATGATGAGGAAGGATTTTTTGAAAAAGATACTGGCTTTGAATTAGAAGAAATAATGTGTTGTTCTGATGGAGATGAATACGGTGAAGTATTGTTGATATTATTATTATTAGTATTTTGAAGCATCATATTCATTTGTAGATTTGAACAATTGGATGAATCACTACCAGAGGTGAATCCATTGCTGCAAACAATATGAAAATGAGAGAGAAAAAAATGACATAAAAATTTACTGATTACAATAACAAACAACTTTAATTAATAGGCTATTGGTAATGGAAAACTTATTGCTAATATGATGACTAAGATTTAACATATAAGGAGGGGACATCTAAGGCCCTACGTAGGATTCTCAGTCTCAGTAAAGCAGGAATTAGGGTGGCATTAGGCTGAACCTACAAACTCACTTAGAGACAAGTTCTGTAGGTTGAAGGACCCTGTTGAACTAATTAGACGCAATAATATAATTTACAAAATACCCTGCAATGACTGTGAGTGAGGTCAACTATATAGGTCAAACTAGTAAGTCAGGAGTAGTCAAGTCAGAACATAAGAATTTAGCTAAGGGAAGAATGGGTGACCCGAAAAAGATAAGTAATTTAGAGAAAAGCTCAGCGATTGCACTGCATGCATTAACAAACAACTCCACAGTAGCATGGTGTGAGAGGGTTAAACTTCTAAAAAGTAATCTAGGTAGGCGGAGAGCGAGAGAGATAAATTACTGAATCGCGCCTGGTTCATCGAGTGAATCTACACCCAACACAACACATTCAACAGAAATGACTCAATGCAAATACCAGAAATATGCATGGAAGATATTATTACCGCCAGTCAGTCAAATCAGAGGAGGATAATAAATAATCTCAAAATTCTATTTCAATTCACATACATCATAACATTCTAACAAGTTACTTATTAATTCCCATCTGAGTGTAATTGATCAATAACACTCGTATTATTATTATTATTTCTGAATGTACCTATGCCTTTTATTGATTTTTATTCAAATATTCGGTCAGTTCCACACATGTATATAAATGAAGGAAAAAGTTGTGTGGGTGAGTGACTTCATATGATTATGAGTGGCAATAATTTGTGCTCGAAACGTGGTTATCAGTCAATATTACTGTGTAACAGTGTGTGATATATCAAAATAAAATCTTATCAATAATGGAGTTATGTTCTACCACAGTACCCAAGTTTTATACTTATATCAATTATTTCAACATAGAGCTTTGCACAAAAGTGTACTAATTGAACATGCCATACTCACTCCTTGCAACCCATAAAAGCTGGGAAAAAGATGGTTAGAAGGACTGAAATCAGCAGAAATGTGAAGGAGAACGAGCAGTAACACGGAAGAACATGAGATTTTAATGGATATAAGAGATTACAAAGAGTGAATGTATCGGCACACCACCTACAACAGTTCTCAGTCATATCGCCAACATCCTCAAGCTATAGGTTCTTAGCATCCCGAGGACCCTCTATAAGCAGGCAATCTACACCTCCCTACGTGCCTGGCTTCAACTAACTGTCAAAGGTTTCATAGGTCAGTTTCAAGCTTTGGTTTGACCGCCGCTAACTCTTTTCCAACTTAATCATATGTCAGCTAACATTGTCTATCGAGGAAGGCAGTGCCTCGAAATGTGCAAAACGTGTCGTAAATATCTCAAACGATGTAGTTTCACAACCTCCTTACCTAACACTCTACACCTAACTTCAATATTACTCACAATATCATACCAATTAACTCAAGAAACGGAATGCAAATATCTGTGGTCAAAGAGAGATGCCGTTTTCAGTCTCCATATCTCACAGACATGAAGAAAGATACAGGACTGCTGAGAAGCACATAATTTTTCTTTGTTCGATAACCAGATATCACGTCTACACCAGAGATGGAGCAAGTTCCCAAGATGTGGTCGATCAACTTTAAAGTTATTGATAAAAGAAGACCCGTAAATCAAGAAGTAATGAATACTGTCGATGCTAAGAAACTTTTAAAAGCTTAAACTCGCTAACCTATTTATCATAATGACAGATAACTCAAATCGAGTAGGCTGATGATGAAGTCCACTCCAAACGGTGTAACTGGTTGTCAGAGATTTAGACCACCATATTCTGGCCATTGGTCACTACTCTCCCACTTGAGAGCTTTCCGCCTACTCAGATCAATCAATAGTGCATGCCATTAGGCAAATTTTATTCAGAGAATAAATGTGAATAACGTTCACTTAACCAGATGTCAAATTTCCACCTCATTTTTATCCTGTTATTGCTACCAAAAGTGAAAGGTACAAGACTTCATATCTCTACATACTACTTATTTCAAACAATTAATACCCTAGTATATATAATGTTATACAGATTATGGGATATTGTAGGAATTCGGATTTCTTCATAATGGAATCAATATCAATCAATCAATATCAATCTCCGGTTACCAGACGGATGTACTGAGAATTCGTGACCAGTGGGATCCACCATTTCAACGAGAAGTGGATACCCATCGAAGGTATTGATCGGTTGACAGTAGAAGTAAATCATGAATTCACGAAATTAGAATTGCATGGCGAATTTCATCATGAGCTGGCATTGGTTAGAGAACCATTGGAAAACCAGCAGGGAGTACTGGACAGCTGATCATTCCTAGTTTGGGACTCCTCATCAGTATGCACCCGCCGGCGTTCGAACCCAGGACCTTCTGGTTACAAGGTGACCTCGTGGACCAATGAGCCACCGGGACCCAATCCGCTGGTCCTCGAATTCACCTTGTAAACAGAAGGTCCTGGGGTTCAAACCCCGGTGGGTGTGTATTGCTGAAGAGTCCCAAACTAGGAAGAAATAGCTGTCCACTACTCCCAGGTTTTCCAGTGGTTCTCTAACTGATGTCATCTCATAATGAAATCCTCTATGCAATCAAACAAAATCCCTACAAAACCAATACGAGGAAATTAGAATTCACAGGTTAATTGAATTCCTGGCCAAGTTTCTGAACAGTATACAACTTTGGCTTTGTAACCTAAGGGTGGCGGTGGGGTCATAGGTGCACGCTAGTGAAGAGACCCAAACAAGGACGAATCGCACATCCAGTGCTTCTTGATTCACATTGATTTCTAACTAATGTTAGTTCGCGAAGAAAAATTTACGTTGAAATATGCTATATAATCATTATATTACCAGTTTACTGCCATCTCTCTAGAGACGTATCACTACCGAATTTCATACACACAAAAACAAAACTACAGGAAATAAAACAATCAAGCATAAAAAAACACGAATGCAGAATACAATAGGGAAATACATTAATCAAAATGTTTAAAATTAATAGATTGTGTGTTGATACATTGAATTCAAAAAAATAGGATACGCATATGTCTGGAAAAAAAAGAAGAGAATACACCTTATTTTGGGGAAAAAAATCCCAGACTAAAATCGACCACCAAAATGCGATTTCCTCTTCCTTGTAAATATATATATATATATATATATTCTGTTTTTTTTATTTTATCAGCGCATAGTGTTACAATAATCTCACACAAGCTTTAAGTGGGAAAATATCAACAAGGAAGGGAAGAGAAGAGAAGGGAGGTATCACCATTTTGTTGATTTATGTAGTCCGATTTCAAATGGGTTTTGTAACTTCATATTGCATATGTCTGTTACAACAGCATAACAATTAACTGATACCACCCCATAGCAAAATTATTCATCCCATTCCTGAAAAATGTTTTCATTTTCACTCATTCAACCGAAATGTACGCGTGACAACAATAAAAAAAAAGCTTTAAATCACTCACTGGCTAGATCACACTGAAAACAAATTGAGAAACGAAAAGTTTTACGACAATAACACTCAAAGTAGAAGACCAAAAAAGGACTGTTAGCCAACACTTCAACAAGTTCAGTATATCGGTGAATGATGATTCGCTGTGATATCAAGGATGTGCATTTCGTCCTATTTGGGACTTGTCGGCTGGCGGTACTTGCATTCCCCAGTGAGTGATACTGTTCCTGCTGAGGCTCAAACCCAGTACCTATAATTTCAAACGCTAAAATGTTACCCACTAGACCACTTGGGCAACGAGAGCCACCTCTTGTTAACGTGTAATTTATTTGCGCAACACACTTTGAATATTCTGATCACAATTTTATCAAAATAGGTCAAAATGTCTACGTGTCACAGCCACAGCTAAGAGGTAGAAAAATAAGGCAAGAAAAAACAGTGGTGAAAGGGAGTGAAATCAAGACATCTGGGCATAACCGAGGCGCTAGCTATTCAATTAGGGGTTCTTGAGAAACGTAGCTAATCAATATCTTCCTTTTATTTGTGAAAGTCTTTTATGCCTATTAAATTCTACAAAGAAAGAAGTGTGAAATAGTACGAAATACTTACGTTGGAAGGTGACGGGAACTGGAGAGAAAAGAACAAGAAGTTCAACGCAGATATCTTTTCAGAGACTTCATCTTCGAAAGCTGTACAATCGCATTTTTATACATAAGTTTATATAGCTGTAATTATTATTTAATTCAACAGAGCAAAGGAGATAGTAATTGGTACTGCAGAAGCCCTCAATATATATTCATCAAGAATCCGGAGGTGTTTTCACAAGAAACTAGTCTAACGTCTATATTTCTTAAGTACCTAGTTCTGTTTGACATCTTAATTATCGTTTCTTTTTCATTCTCTTCATTTCTCATCCTCATTGATAAGAAACCAGTTATGTCAATTTATTTCTATGCTCATCTTATTCACCCCTGTCTTTAATAAAAAACTAATTTACACATTAAGCAACTACTTTCTAACCACAGGTAATTTCATTCCCATATCCCTTGTGATCGACATTCATACATTCAAACTTCCACAGCGGTAGAATGCTCAACAACCGTGCATGTGGTTCGGAGTTCGATCACCGGCCGGCGCGCTTCTTTACTTTACTAAGCCGGCAATAAGACCGGTAAAGAGGGAAGCTTGAGTATAAGGCTAGCAACCCTATCCCATAAAAATAAATGCCACTGCTACCGAAACTTCAGAGTTCTAGCTTGAAGTCGCATGTTCCACTGGGAAAGTAAACGAATAGAAAACAAAATATGTACATATAAATGCGATTGAACAACTGTTGAAGATGAAGTCATCAGAAAGACATCTTTGCTGGGCTTCTCGTTCTCCCTTGTCTAATATCCTGATTGGTAATATCCATGATTTTTAAAACATTATATTAGTTGAAGAATTTCATCATGAAATGACATCAGTTAGAGAACCATTGAAAAACCTGCAGGGAGTACTGAACAGCAGTTTCGTCCTAGTTTGGGACCCTTTTCATCAGTACGCACCCACCGCCAGGGTTCAAACTCAGGGCCTTCTGGTAGTAGACCATTAAACCACTGGGACTAATGTCAGCTCATGGTGAAATCCTCCAATCAATCAAACAAAATCCTTACAAAACAAACATTTGAAAATATTATATTAGTTAATAAAATGACCTCTACTTCTTATTTTCTTTACAAAAGATAATAAACAATACAATATGATAAAGATAAACCATCATAGAGTTACCAAAACCTACATTGCATGTGAGTCACCAGGTCGTGGATAACCAGGAAAGTTAGCACTTCCACTTCCTATTGCAGTACTGCCTAAACCACTTGTACCTGATAATCCACTGCTGCTACTTCCAGCAATCATCTTATTGCTACTACCATCAATAAATGGTTGACTATTTTTAACTCGAATATGTGGCGGAAATTGTCCAGGATTGGCAATTACTGATGAGGTATTTGGATAAGAATTACCACCCAGCGGACTGAGACGATGAACTCCACCGTTGGCACTACTACAACAAGTTGTTGATTCACGAAATTCTGTTGCATTTTGATCATTTGGTAAGAGATATGTCTTTGAATGATTCGTCGGGGATAATTCATATAGGTTATTTGCCGTATTATTGACAATACAAGATCCAACTCCACGAAAGCCACCAACATTTGGATTTGATATAGTACATGAAACATAATGAGTTTCAGCATAAGCTGCTGCTGATGCAGGCGAGTAACAGTTTGATAGATAGGCTGAAAAATACACATGAATAAAAGCATTAACACAATTGTAGTTTATAGTAATATTTATTACTTCAAAGCAGGTAATGTTAAAACAAACCCAGCGTTCCTTTCGTTTCAGTGAACGCATTGAATCAATCACATTTACGTATCCTTACCAGTTCACCTACTTTGACAGGCAAAAATTAAAGCTTCCTCTTACGATTCACTTATATATATATATACATATATATGCTCCTCGTTTATTTGCATATCTTCAACAATACAATTAATCACAACACCTCGAAATGACCTAAAAGGATATTTTAACAACTTAGATGACAACACCCCGAAGATTGCCTTGTTCTACAATCACAGATACACATTGACAAAAGAACTAACCAACTAGTTAAAGACAGAGGGAAAAAGATTTCCCCTTACTGTATCCAATTTACACTTTAAACAGAAGTGAAATTCCTCCAGATCCTATCTATATATAGATAGGAATTATGTTATGGAATTACAAAATGAGGCAAATAAATCATTTTAGCTACAAAATGACAAGATTTTCTTAATTGTAAGCAAGAGAGGCATAAGTGATTTGTGAAACAACGCTTTATGATACAAAAAGGTAGTCTGACATTAAAATAGTTACTAACTGACTGACTGACTGAATTTCAACGTGGAACTTTGGGCAGAAATGCAGCACCAGTTCAACTTGCCACAAGTAGTACACACAGAGGTGTACAAAACGGAGAGAGGGAGAAAGAAAAGGAATCAAAAGAACCACATTGAGCAGAAATGCGAAGAAGAAAAAGTATTAACATGAAAAAACATGAAGACTAAAAATGGATATAGGAGATCCCAAAGAGCGAATGTATCTGCATCGACTGTGCATCGGTGGCACAGCGGTAAGGACTCTCGCCGACCACGTACATGGTCCGGGGTTCGATCCCCTGCCAACGCACACCTGATATCTATGGTCGGCCTGCAGAATTTGGGCTATCGATATCACATGCTGAAAATTCCATACCTGTAACAAAAAATACGGTGTGGAATCAAGCTGAAATAAAAAAAATAAAAAGATAAAGTAAATAAATAAATAAAATGAGAATGATTTTGAGCCATACCCAAAACAGTATCAAGCCATTGGTTCTTACCATCCCAGAGACCTCATCCAGGCGTTCCTACACCTACATAAGTAATTCAGACTAAATGGATTAAGGCCAGGAGTTTTAGTTCTGTTTTTCTTATTCTTTTACATTCCCAGTGGAACATGGAGCTTCAAGCTAGAGGCTTAAAGTTTCGGTAGCAGTGGTGTATATTTTTATGGGATGGGGTTGATAGCCTTATACCCGAACTCCCCTCTTTATCGGTCTTATTGCCGGCTTAGCAAGGTATAGGAGTTCGCCGTCCGGGAATCGAACCCTGAACCACATGCACGATTGGTGAGCATTCTACTGCTGTACCACCTTAAACTTTTTGTCAGGTTAATATTGCACGTTGAGGACGGCGGGTGGCCGGGCATCAGATAGTTGTTAATTTCTAGACAACATTCGTAGCTCAAACTAAAAATCCTACGAAAAAATCGATTGGCTTAAATGATACGGATAACCGTTGCTGAACAAGCACTTTTGCTATTTAATGCAGTTGGAGATCGGCTAAGCCTATTGTGCAGGCACTAATTCGAGTACATGATCCACTAGTTGGAAGTCGAGTGCCTACACCAATGAGCCACAGTTCCACAGATTGAATCATTCACTGAGCTGATAGGTAATCTTTTGTTTAGTTCTTTCGATGACAGCTGGGGCATAGCGTTCACTGTCAAAATAAACTTTTAAACTGCGCGAACTAAAGTTTTATTGAAAGTTATACTGAAAAAGAACACTTAAACAGTATAATACATCTTATTGACACAGATCTGCAGATTTAAAAAGTCTGGATACAGACTCTAACTGAATCAAAAACTATGAAAAACTGTACAGAAGAAACGCATCAGTCTTCTGAAACGGTAATGCTGGAAAACTTTGCCAACTACGTAGTAGAAAGACACATACATACATACATACACACACACACACACTTGAAGCTAATTTATTCTTTCCTCACGCCTTAACGAATAGCATGTATTCACTGTTTAATGTTGTTATGTTCAAGTATCAATCAGTCTGAATAAAGCAAGAACAACAGTAGTTTGTGCAGAATAAGTTGGCACCACCATCTGTTTCGCTGGCTTCTCATCAGCTACATACAGCCTAGAGAAATTATTAAGTTTATGTACAGAACAGGCTTAACATACTTTCAAATGCTACATTGTGTCAGTTAACAGGAGACCCGATACTTAGTGAGCTGCTCACAAATTACACTTATGTAGTCTACATGTAGAATGTTGACGTTGAAACAAAAAATAAATGCTTAGATACAACGACAAAAGGCAGTGTAGTCTCTGGTGCAATCAAAGGTCGACAGATACCCCTAAACTCTGCGCATACACGTTTACATTTATCTATGGTAACAGTTACATTGAGAGAACCGAAAGAAGCGTACACCATCCATTTTTTGAACATGTGTCAAACAATCTATGCCTCAAGGGAACAAACACTTTAGAAACATAGGTCGTTTTCAGGGATCTCCTCGGTACGAGTCATGAGGTGGACACCATGAAATCAATTAAAATTTTCAATTAATAAAAAAGTTGGATTCTCCTCAATTATGCGGAAGCGATTGCTATCAAACACCTGAAACCTAACTTGTATGTTCATAAAGAACCAGTTACCAGTTTTTCTATGCCCTGTTAACGGGATGCCTCTTTAATATAATGTAACCCTGCTTGTCTCCCGTTTCAATAATCTGACTTGAACCCACCACATTGTTACTCAACGTATAGGTACTCATCATTTTATCCACCCACCTCTTGCCTTTGTTGCTCAATTCCTTTGCCACTGTATCCAAGAATTTATTTTTCTTCAAACTTGAACACTCTGTGTATAAGCTAAATAAGTTTAATTTCTGAGCACTGTTCTGTCTGTCTGTTTTCGACATAGAACTTTGCACCAATGTGCAGCAGTTCAAGTCGTCACACTACATGTACCACACAAACCAACAGACGAAAGTAGAAGAAATGCATAAGAGAGACAGTACACAGAGGTGTGAGACAAAGCAATAGTAATAACGAAAAACAACATAGTTTCATTGTAAATTATAAGTCACTAGAAGTGGATGCATCTGCGCTGTCATTGGGAACGATTTTGAGCCATATCAGCAATTGCTTCTAGCCACTGGTTTCTACCGTCCCTAGGACTCCAACCAGGAAGTCTACACCTTCCTACGTGGCTGACTTCAACTAATTGTTTCAGATTTCATTGACTGGTTCCATGTTTTGGTTTGACCGCCGCTAGTTCTTTTCTAGCCTGACCCTATATCAGCTAACATTGCCCATTGTCGAGGAAGGCGATGGATGGCTAGGCAAACGTAACACATAACCTAATCATCTCAGTCGATGTGGCTTCACAGCCTCGTCGATTGATTTCCCCCCCTTACCTAGAACTCAACCGAAGCCTAATCTCAATATTGCTCACCTTATTATACCACTTCACACTTCGCAGGCACCTATGATCAAAGACAGCTAACCAGACTTTTTCTTGTCTCCAACTTTCAATGACCAGGTCTCACAGCCAGCCATAAAGGTGGACGGAGCGGACTGATGAGCAGTACATCCGCCCTTTGGTCGATAGTCGGATATCACGTCTACTCCAGAGAAGGCGTAAACTGGCATATGCGAAACTAGCCCTCTGTATGCGTGCTGAGATTTCGTCAGAGATCAACCCGTTGGCATTGGCTGATGGTACTTCCCAAATAAGTGAAGTGGTCAACGTGCTCTTCCACTTCACTGTTCATTAAGTTTGAAATCCCCTATCAACTGATATAAATAAGGTAACATTTGCAAGCATGATGACAATACCATTTTAATATATATATAACGTATCAGTTAATCAATCACCGGTGAAAAAGGATACTAATATTATTGATGTGAAAACATTAGAAATGTTTATTACCAAAAAACACTGTAATTTTATATCTTTATCATTTTGATTATTTTTGGTGTACAAAATAATGGACTGAGAAGAAAGTGAAATTTTCACACACACACAGAGTTTTAAAGTGGATAAAATTAACTTTTCTACCAATAAACATTAAATGCAGATAACAAGAGAGAGATAAAGGAAGGAACGAAGGCAGGAAGGAATAAAAACATCTTTTCAAGACAATTCGAAAATATAAACAGATAGAAACAAAAACCTTGAGAATTTATCTGTATAAATATACTGGTCATAAATTTCCTCCTTTCCTCTTCTAATAAATAACACAAAGTTAGTTTCCTTTGCTTGGTGAAAACAACAAAACTTGTATTTGAAAATTATATATGAGACTTTAAGATACTTCTTTTTATTTCTTCACGTTCCCAGGGGAACATAAGGGGGCTTCAAAAGCTAGAGCCAGTGGTGATTATTTTAACAGGATGGGGTTGCTAGTCTCACGCCCAACCTTCCTTCTTTACCAATCTTACTACTGGCTTGGCAAGGTAGAGGAGTGCGTAGGCCAGAGCCCCAAGGTACCTCAGACTATGTGCATGGTCGGGGAGCGTCTTAACCGATGTGCCACCGACGAGACTTTGAATGCAATTCACAATTACCAAAATATCGTTCAGCTCTCTCTGAACTAAGTCACAAACGAAAATAGATATAGGCAGATTTTGATTGGCTGTTGGTTAGCTGGCTTCCTATTGGTCTAAACTATAAGTTAAAGCGGTAATCTTTTTATTTTGACACGGAAATTTTGTAGTCAGTATGATTTAGGGCTTACCTTACCATAATATAATGGCGTGTTAATTTTTTTGGTATGAGTGTAGTGTGATAGTCACACGTTATTTGGATGCAACATTGGTGGTGTTTAAAGTACATTAAGATGTATGAGAATGTCTAGTAACTGAATATAAATCAACAATAATTTCGATGCATTTAGGATGTATGCAT